GTGATTATGTTTATAGTGCCGTTCTTCGCGATTTTCTCTATGTTGAACAGGCGTGTAATGTTCAAGAAATGTAATGATAAATAAAAGAAGTAAAATTATTTGGAATTATTCAATTCCCGTGGCTGAAAACATACATAGGTATTGAATTTTCGAAACTGAGAGAGTTGCACTAACCAAATTTGGACAGGACATAGCTAATACGATGCGAAACATCGCCTTAATGTCACAAATGTTGAAACCGCCGTTAGTGGTGGTGAAAATTTGAAATTGACCCCATATATGTATGTATGTGGTACAACAGTAACTATGTGACGAACTTTCAGGGCTGATATCTTCTAACAAACTGAAAAAGAAGAATATAACCTTTTTTAATGGTTCATTCAAAGATTGTGAAGTGAAACGCAATTTTCGATTAATTAGCTAATAATCATTGAAGATACAACTCGTATTAAATTTTATTTCTAGTATTCGGAAAATCTGGAACCCGTCCTGACTGATTTTTATTCAAACTTTATATAAATGTAAGATATCAAAATTAAAATTTACTACATTGTCCGAGATTTTTGAGTGAATTTATCAAGAAGAAGAAGAAAGGGTCAGCCCTTAAAAATCGTTTTAGGGAAGAATGTTACTCTTTTTTATTTCCATGTAAGAAATCAGCATCACTGTGCATTAAACAGTAATGTATTTTTCAGAAAGGATTATTTTATCTGCTCCATTTTCTTCTGTTCTTGGAAATAATCACATTTTGCATTATTTGTTAAATTGATATTAATCATAACCATATACCTAATAAGCGATTGTTATTTTTGTAAATTTTATGTCATTTTGAATAGAAAAGCAACGTATCGATATTGTTTTTATTTCGTACTATCTACTTGACAAACAAATAGTTAGAAATAGATAGAAAAGAAAAGAAAAATAGACAGGAAAAAATAGATACCTACTACGAATATCTTCAGCTTGAGATACAATTAGCCTGTGACGATTCACAAATAACATATTTTGGGGCAGTACAAACGTGATCATTCCACATCGTAGCCTTGTTAGTGTGAGTATATCTGATTTCTAAACATTTCTCGTTGTTCCCCGCGTTGTCGGGTTGAATAGGGAACCAATTAGCGTATAATTAATAATAATAATAATACTAATAAATCTTTATTCATGTAAGCCTGTCACAGGATATGAAACGTCATAAATTATTCTAACATGCATAAGACAAACCAAAGTTAGAAAAAATACAACATTATACATATATACACATAAAAAACGAACAATTTACCTTGACAAAGGAAAATCATAAAATTCCTGTAACGAATAAAAACAGTCGCCGAAAAGGAAAGAACGTAATTCTTTTTTGAATAGCCTAATATTTGTATGATCCTTAATGTGACGGGGTAATTTATTGAAAATTGTTCCACATAAGTAAAGCGGCCCCTTCTGAAATGTTGTTGTATACGATGGGCCTTCCCGTGTCCAACCAAACCCAGTGGTCGTCTGGTAAGGTGGTACCAGATGTCCAGAAGCGGTAATCGCCAGCACCAACTAAAGTGACATTGATATAAATGAATTTAGAAATTATTTTGCTAATCCTCAATTCAGAATAAACAATGTACGGAAGTGCGTAGATAACATGTTTAATATACAAATATTACAATGAAATCTACAGAGGAAAGTCCAAGATGCTTTTGAGATAGGCAGAATTATATTTATATAGTACCTATTAATATCACAATCTTCACTGAAACATTTCAAGACATGGAATTTTAATTGGTGCTATAAGTATTTTTTTCCTGTAGTAATCTCTCTTGAAATTAGAAAAATAGAAGTGTTTTGTGTTTTGTCAAATTCTTTGCGATATTTTAAATGTCTGTCATATTTTAAAATTAGACTCGGATCATCCGGATGCAAATTTATTGTATAACAAGGAAATGACTTACGGAGAGGTTTCAGTTTTTCTCACAAAAAATTGTTGTCTTCTGCGCTTTCAATGCTCAAAAGAGCCGTTCCATGATAGTGATAGTATTGTATCGCTTGGAAAAAATTGCCCTGAAATAAGAAATAAGTGAATTATAAATAACGTATCGCTATGAATAAAATAAATTTCGTGCATTGTGGGGTGTTTATGATTTTAATATTGGATATCTGTGATAGAACGCAATGTTCTTTAATGTACTATTACAATTTAATACTTATTTATAACTTATTTTAGAAATAAGAAAAAACGTCCGTTTTCTAACAATCCTTTTATTTTCTTAACATAGACTACCGGTTTCGAGGTCAAAAATTTTCACCTCATCTTCAGGTCCCACAAGGCTTGAGCTTATCATGTTCAATTTACAATATAACCTACATATCATTATTAATAGAAACTATTCCAACTTTAAAATACATAGCCATCTAAGAAATCTTAGAAATCATGAAAGATATACAGGCTGTTACAAATTCGCATTTCACTACAGGGACCTCGAAAACGGTGAGAGTTACAAACTAGCTTAAATGGGGGCAAAGTTGCGTAATCGGGGGACCAACAATGTGCATTTAGAAAATTAAAATTATTTAATTAAAAATTTAGATTTCTTTGTTTATTGACTTATCGTACACTGTATGTGTAGTTGGACCACGTGAAATCCGTCTAGTTATTTAAACTATTACCAACACGCATTAAAATAAAACATTATTAGAGTTTTATTCCCGCGTCCATAGTTATTTCTAGACTTCTCGAGTGCTCAAAATTCAAACAAATTCCGACCTACCCTTTTTCAGGATATTCATACAAATACATATGGCCATGCTCTTTCACACTTGCGGTTACAGATAAAATAAATTCCGATAATATTATATTACGCTGATCTTCAATTTCAACCTCTGCCAAAACGAAAATGTTTTTCAACATTTACCTTCTGAAATTTTTTAAAGAATAATATTCAGTTGGCGTTTTGGTTGTTCATATTCATTTTTAAGAATTAATTTGTCATAATAAATTTAAAATTGTAATGAATGTTTTAATTTTGACGCAACAACTTATCGAGTTATGTATGACCAAGTGATGGTAATAGTTAATAATAATAAATGTTTTATTGTAACCAGTGGTGGTGATAGTTTAAATAACCAGATGGATTTCACAGGATCTAACGACACTTACAGTGTACGATAATTCAATAAATAAAGAAATCTAAATAAAAAATTTAGATAAATTTGGAACGAATACACTGAGGATGAATTTTTCGAGACAAAACGTCTGAATCTGGTTCGGGCTGAGGCAGTACAGTATTCGGGGTCACGAAGGCTTGCAAAAAATGTAATAAAATTTCTAAGGTCGTATTTAAAAAAATGAAGTTGATGATGGTCCTGGAGAGACGAAACGTTACATATAAAAATTGATTATGTCATTCGATAGAGGGCAAAAAGTGGTCATCAGAAAGCGTCCTTCTTTTTTCAATATCACCTCAAACAAGGCTGAAATGAAACAAAAACGGATTTCCCTAATTTCGTTTTTTTTTTTCAAATATTTCGAAAACTAATCATGTCAGCCTTGAGTTTTTAGAGGCACAATGTTGGTCCCCCGATTACGCAACTTTGCCCCCATTTAAAAGCTACTTCGTACCTCTTACCGTTTCCGAGATCCCTGTAGTGAGAAGCGAATTTGTAACAACCTGTATAGGTATATATTGTAAATTAAAGACTGTCTATGATAAGCTAAAGCCTTGTAAAACCTGAAGATGAGGTGAAAAATTTGACCTCGAAACCGGTAGTCTATGTTAAAAAAATAAAAGGGTTGTCAGAAATCTTATTTCTAAAATAATGTCTACGCCTCCGTTTCCTAGTAGTTTCTTGTTACCCGCGCCAATATCCTTGGCAGGAAAAATGACCTCGGATGGAGCGGGGTCGAGCGGGATTATCGCTCTTTACCCACCTTGTTACCCGATTTTTTCGAAGCCGCGGCTAGTGAGACTCATAGGAAGGCGTAGAACTTAGTATTGCTGTTTTTTTTTTGTAAAAAAAAAATCACAGAAACTTTCTAAAATGGTTCGATACTAAAATAATAGTCAGAGATTTGGTTTACCGTGGCCCGAGAGTCAGTAGTGGATTCGTAATTATGCGTCTGTCACTATCTTAATTTAATTGATGACTGATGACAGCGATGTCGCCGTATTTTCGCTGTCTACGATGATTTTTATATTTATTTTACATTAGATTTAATGCAAAGTCTCGGGTTCGGTGACAATAAGTTATAATGGAAAACTCACATTTATCAATTTTGAACTGAATGCTTATTTGTTTATCATACCTCGTAAACTGCTCCAAAATAGTAGTATTTATTTCCAAATTTTTCTAAAGGTATATTCGGCAAAGTATCCTTTAGTGAATCCTTGTACAACTCTATGGGCAATTAAAATTTTGTTATACAATAATTGTTAATGTTTCTATTTTAAACTTAAAAACTTACCGTTATAAACGACAGTCTTATTAATGCAACTGGCACTATTACCACTGAACGAAAATAAAAAAATAATGTACCATTTTATGATTTGTCCAACTGTCTTTCTTGCAAGCATGCATTTTGGTGAGACACTACAAGCATTCGAGTGGGACTATTTTGTTTTATAGCTGGGAACCCGTTTTGCTGGTAAGTATAGCAAACTGTAAAGCCACTATGTCCCAAAGGAAATTTAAATTCTCGTATCCTTAGACACAAAAAATCAGTATTTCCAAGATACGCAAAAAAAACCAACTCGATAACTTCTGATGACCTGATGCGATAGATTCCTTAACTGTAAGATCTTTAAATAACATAAATGTTCTTTCAAACTCCAAAATTAACTCGGAGAAACTAAAATGAATATGTTTTCGTATTGTGGATTGTTGAAGTTTAAGGAGAAATATAGGGTCTGGGTAGAAGTCATTTCATTTACATGTATAGTACCCGAAAAAATACCGTACATACTTTAAAAAAGTAATTATTTTTGGAAAAAAATAAACACCGAAAACTATTTCGGCTAAGAAATGTTTGGAGTGTCAAAGATCAAAGGTTCATAAACACAATAAAAAAGGAAAGTAGTAGTAAAAAAATTTATTTGACATTTTATGATAATATAATTGATCTTCCTGTAGCCAGCCAAAGCCGATGGTCGTCTGGTAAGGTGGTACCAGATGTCTAAAAGCGGTAATCACCAGCACCAACAAAAATTACATTAATATAAATGAATTTAGAAATTATTTTGCTAATCCTTAGTTCAGAATAAATAATGTACGGAAATACGTAGATAACAAGTTTATTGTACAAATATTGTAATGAAATCTGCAAAGGAAAGTTCAAAATGCATTTGAGATAGGCAAAATTATATTCATATATTAATATCTCAATCTTCCTTGAAACATTTCAAAACATGCAATTTAAATTGGTGCTATAAGTATTTTTTTACTGTAATGTCTCTAGAGCAAGGGTCGGCAACTGGCGGACCGCGGTCCAGGTCCGGACCGCGAAAAGTAAAATACTGGACCGCCAAAAATTTTTTGAAAGTATAAATTACTCAAATAAATTATTTAAAAAATGTTTTTTACGTTTAAGTGCCGATCTTATAATTTTTTCTAGTATTTTACAATTGTGTGAGTGTTTTGAGTTCTTAATGGTTAGTAAGCAGATTAAATTTGAGTCCAAATTAAAATAAAAAAATAAGAAATATGATTTTTTTTTTCTGGACCTCGTTAAAAATTTTCAAAAGTATCCGGACCCCACCTAAAATTACTTGCCGACCCCTGCTAGAGAGTAGAAAAATAGAAGTGTTATATATCAAATTCTTTGCGATATTTTAAATGTCTGTAGAAATATCAGAGAGACTGATATTTTAAAATTATGTTTGGAGCATCTGGATCATAAGAAAACGGCTTACGGAAAGGTTTCAGTTTTTCCCACAAAAAATTGTTCTCTTCTGTGCTTTCAACGCTCAAAAGAGCCATTTCGTGATAGTAACAGTATTGTGTCGCCTGAAAAAAAATTTCCCTGAAATAAGAGACAAGTGAATCATCAAATAACGTATCGCTATGAATAAAATAAATTTCGCGCAATGTTCTTTAATGTGCTATTACAATTTAATACTTATTTACCAAAATAGTAGTATTTATTTCAATTTTTTTCTAAAGGTATATTTGGCAAAGTATCCTTTATTGAATCCTTGTACGACTATATGGACAATTAAAATTATTGTTATATAATAATTGTTAAGGTTTCTATTTTAAACTTATGAATTGTTAAAACTCATCGACAGTCTTATGAATGCAACTGGCACTATGGACACTGTACGAAAATATAAAAATAATGTAATTTTATGATTTGTCCAGCTATCTTTCTTGCAAGCATTTTGATGAAACACCACAAGCATACGAGTGGGACCATCTTAATTTATAGCTGATGGTAACCCGTCTTGCTGGTAGGTGGTACAGCAAACTGTAAAGCCGAGATGTCCCAAAGGAAATTTAAATTCTCGTATCATTAAACTAGACACAAAAAATCAGTTGTTTTGCAGATACAGTATTTCCAAGATACGCACAAAAAAAAACAAGTCAATAACTTCTGATGTGGTACGATTAGATTCCTTAAATGTCTAAATCTAAAGATCTTTAAATAAGATAAAATGGTTTTTCAAACTCCAAAATTAACTCGGAGAAACTAAAATGAGTATGTGGTCGGTTGTCGCACCTGTGACACACTGATGAGGACTAATAAGTCCGAAACCGGAATCCTAGCTGTTGCACTAGGTGTTGCGAGTATTAGCGATGCAAATACAGTTACTTTTTAGTACTCAGAGTATTCGTTACTTTTATCTTGACTACTCGTTACTTTGTATTCGTTACTGAGTACAGTTACATGTATAGTCCGGCCGGCACGATATGCGGCTTTTTTATCTATCGTCTAAATAAACTTTTATCCATCGTGGCTACATCTGTTCCAAGTGAACGTATATTCTCTAAGGCAGGTCAAATAATAACAGAACGGCGCAATAAATAGATTATTAGAATCCAAGTATGTAAACAAAATCATTTTTCTAAACTGGAACGATTTTTTGTTTATTCATAAAACTTGGTAGTAGTAGTAGGCATTCGCACAAAACAGTAGATAGTTTTGAATTGACAAATTACGTTATTTGCTATTTTGGATATTTATATTTTCGTTAGGTATTTCTATTTTTATAAGATTAATTTATATAAGACAAGAATATAATATACATATATATTTTTTTGTGTTTAATATAAGTAAATTTAGAAAATAATTATTTATTTAAATGTTAATAAATATATAAATAATTTAAGTTTTGTACGTCTATGTATTATTTACGTTCTTCAGGTGCATAGGTATCTATGTACCTACTATACTGTAGCAAACTACGAATTAAATAATTACATTGATTAATTACTGATTAAATATATTTTACAGCTGTTTAATTAAATGTCAACAAAAAGGTATTTCATCTTAAGTAACAATCCTATAGAGGTTGACGACTACGCGACTACTGTATCCTTGCGATACTCGTCGATTATCGTGATTACATGTATCGAAACTTGGAGAAGAATATCTACTTAAAAAGTATCAGTATCGAATACTTTTCTCATCGATTACTCAGTATTCGTTGCTTATTCAAGTAACGGATAAAAAGTAACGAATAAATACAAAGTTGACATCACTAGCGAGTGCGATAATTCAATGCCGGTAGGGGTAAATAGCTCTCGGAGTAGTTGTTTCTCGCAACACTGACAACTCTAAAATGAGTATGTTTTCATATTGTGGACTGTTGAATTTTAAGGCGAAATATATGGTCTGGGTAGAAGCCAGCTGAATTTAATCAATTTAATATCATTTCAGTAACATATAATATAGAAAAACCACCGTACCTACTTTAAAAAAGTAATTATTTTTGGTCAAAAATAAACACCGAAAACTATTTCGGCCAAGAAATGTTTGGAGTATCAAAGATCAAAGGTTCATAAACACAATAAAAAAGGAAAGTAGATGCAGAACTAATTTATTTGACATTTTAGTATAAACTTAAATGACGCGTAGGAAGTCATTACTTAAATCCTTCTCGGCTTTATTTATTCGTATACTAGGAACTTTTTCCAGCTAGACAGTTACGCTGTGACGATTCACAAATAACATATTTCCGACCATTACAGTCATGATCATTCCACATCATACCCATATCACCTTCCGTGTCGGAATACTCGTAGATTGCTTCTAAGCATTTCTCAATGTTTTGCCAGTTGTTTGGTTCATTAGGTAACCAATTAGTGTATTCGATGAACTTTCCTGTTTCCAACCAAACCCATTGGTCGTCTGGTAGGATAGTACCCGATGTCCAAAAGTTGTATTTCTCAGCACCAACTAGAAAAATATTTTTAGGAGTGTCTGTATGATGTAACTTAAGTGAGGGTGTAATTTTTGAACACGAATCAGAAATTCTTTTTTTTTTTAATCAAATAAAGTCGAGTTATGTTTAAATTTAAGCAAAATCCGATCCTGTTCCGAATGCTCACGAAGTTGCCGCTCCGTTAAAATGCCGTACTGCCGCCTCTGAAAAGCAGCTACTGCCATGTGATTTCACACCTGGTATGATATGACGAGATGGTACAGGCATAGAACGACAAATTCATACATTTTTATAAATAATTTAGCTGACCGTCAACGTCTCTCAGTTAACTTTAAACTCAAATTATATACTTCAGAAACAGAAAGCTTCTATTTCGAATTAATAAGAAAAAGGCTTACGGAATCGTTTCAGCTGCCTGATCAGAAAGTTAGTCTCTTTCGCACTTTCGACACTCAAAATTCTCATCCCATTGTAGTGACAGTACTGCATTGCTTGGAAATAGTTGCCCTAAAATAGAAGATAGAAAAAAATTATTTCAATGTCAAGGGCTTGCTTTTTGCCGTTTATTCCGTCACCCCATAAAATTTTTTTGCTTGTGAAAATACTCGACTCTTGTAAAACAATTTGGTATACACTTTTCTTATAGATAATCCAGTGTTGTGCGCTATATTTTTGTATAATTCCCGATTTCTTAGTTATCACAGAAAACGGCAAAAACTGAAAATCTCTCTGATGCTAGGACCATTATACAATTTAATAAATACCTTTATTATTTATTATCCGTACCTGAAATGTAGTTCCAAGGTAGTAGTATTTTTTGCCAAATTTTTCCAAAGCTATAGTCGGCAAGGTATCTTCCAGTGACAACTCTGTGGGAAAATAAAATTATTTTACAACACAAAATGGAGGAATTTAAAAATATATCACATCCTTTCAGGTATGCCTGAAGCTGTATTTCCAGATGTAGTGACTGAAAAGCACTCCAATGAAAACCCCAGCATTTCTACACCATTGACTTAGTGAAAAATCGACCAGTTTGTGTTTCAAAGAAACGAGATATCTTTCATTTTCTTAAAAAAAAACGAGTCATTCTCTATTTACTACTTTTTAAATTTAATATTAGCTCACCACAGATAAATCGAATAAAAAAATCATTGCCGTAGAAATTTTT